TATATATATATATATCTGATAGTTCTTACATATTTATATTTTTGTCAAATAATTTTGTTTTAATTTCATGCAGTCTATCTTTTGGTGTATAACAATTTATATTATTTTAAGGATATCCCTAAAACACAAGGCCACGCTTCAATGCTTATCCCCAAGATTAGATGTGACATTATGTGTGTACGTGTGTGCATGCGTTGCCAATGGACATGCCTGTGCCACACATAATATTTGCCGGAGAGAGACGTACAGTGATGCTTGCGACGGTGAAAAAGGCCAAGCCACTTGAGTCGCACGTCGATATCATCCTTGCCGGACTTGCACGCCTCAATCTCCGCGAGCGGCGTCGCCGCTACCTTCCGAATTCCGTCCTCAAAAACAAGACTCATGGGATCCTTTTCCAGCTTCACTTTCTCTTGCGAATTTATCCCAGCCCGGAACTTCTCCTTAAGCACCCAGTAACCCCCCTCCTTCTCCTCCACTCTCGACTCCAGCCTCTCTGCATTGGCCCTCACCTTCACCTCCTCCTGCGCCGTAAAACTAGCTGCCACCTTCCTAACTGCCTGTCTTGCCGGCCGAAGCGGCGGCGGAGTGAGAAACTGTTGCAGGGAAGTTGAGGATGGTGTCATATTGGAAGGGTGAGTGGTGCTGAGGACGTGCTATTCCTCTAATCTTCATTTGTAGAGGTTGTGGCCCCTTGCTGGCTTTCAAAGGCCAGCGTCTTTCGAGTTTACGAGAGGCTACAAATACCAAATATTGACCCTTTCGCGACCGTCGTTTACATTACACTAGTTCTCAACGGGCCCATGGGGATTAGTTAATAAATTTTATTTTGTGAAAGGATAAATTATTTTGTTTGCTGTTCTTTGGAGAAAGGAGAGGCCGTTTTAGACTGATCAGGCGAGGAATATGATAATAAGAGAGTGTGCACTATTTGAAGAAAATTGAAAAGGAAGATTTACATACATAAAACTCGATTAATATATATTTAATTATCGAACAACTAAGTTTTTTTATTTATTTAACATGTCATTTTATCTGAATAT